CTAGTTTAGGAACTTAAATGTAATTATTAGTTTATTTAGTAGTTTGGACCTGTGTGATTAGTATAATTATCACAATAACTCAAAAAAGTGTACATTTATCTTCAAACATTGTATCAGAAAAATATTTTTCTCCTTTTCGTATTCTCCCCGTAAGTTTCTTTTGTAGTTTTTCTTCTCCCTTCTCTCAATCGAGACATGACGATGATTCCTTTCCAACTTTCCAATCACGCTACTTCCATTTTTGTTGTCAATCACTCCATAATAATTTGACAAGAACGACTCGACAACAAATTAGTTAGTGCTCGTCGTCTCGATGGGATCAAGCTGCCATTCCGGATCCTACTTGATGCGATTCAAGCGTATTTTCAAAGAACAAATTGTTCTTCATCGACTCTACTGCCGCGATGCCTTTCGCTTGATGACGATGATGATCTCTTCGCCGCATGGGAGCAGTGCAACGTGATGCTCCTTGGCTGGATCTTTTGTTTGATTTCTCTTGGAGTGTGCTTTGGCTAAACACAGTGACTGAGGTTTGGAATGATCTGCAAGAGCGAGGTATTTATCATGTACCACGCGTATAGACATTTTTTTTCCATTAGATCTTCTCTGAAAAAGAGGAACAAAGATCTACATATTTACAATGAAATTTGTCTACAATGCAAACAAAAAACAAAGTCAAACCCCAAAAGAATTCAGAGTGATGAGATCAGAGCCAAAACGACCACCAAATGAGCCACTCTAAAACCATTACACCCAACGAAACCAAAAGGACTCCTTCCTTGCCACCAAGCCAAGACGCAGAACAGTTGTCGCCTCGTCCTCCATGGACGTAGCCACATCAAAGAAACCCTGCATAGGAGTGGAAGACGTTGCATCGCCCTCCAGTTGAAACCCTGCAACCAACTCTTCCTTCTCGTCCATTCTACAAAGGCTCTTGCTTGACAATTCGAGAGGGGTATATCTGAAAACCAGACAAACACACCATAACACATGACAAAATAGGGGTAAAAGTCATGCACAATTATGAAGCACAAACAAAAGAACTAAACAATCACCAACACAACATATTGAACATAGAGATATCAACCACTGCCAAGCAGTGAAAGAAGAACATAATAAACAACACAACGAAATGAACAAACAATAGCTACAAAAACTAATACAATAAAGAGACCCACAAACGAGAAAAAAGAATGATTAAGTCGATAACCTAGACCTTTGAAAATATTGGAACGCCAGAGCCGAACCAAAGCCCAACAAGTCCATGAAAGAAAAGTGAGAATGAACACTGAACACGAGAAGGAAACACGAATCTCATAAATATAGAATGAAAAAATTGAACAAACAACGAGCACGAACAAGATCTACATGAGTGGGGGATACCCACGGCTTCCTTAGATGATTGAAACAAGGTGATGGTGGCGACTGAATATGCATGATCTCCAAGCCGATTGAGACGGGAACCATTCCAGCACCAATCACCTGCAACAAAACCGAAATTAGTCAACCATACATGCGTGGGTGATGCTCACGGCTACTAAATTACCCACAAAGCAAAACCGGATCAAGTGGCAATGGAGAATTGCCCCATCGTCGGCAACTGCGCACCGGGAACTACCTCCATATTGCTTGAAACCACTCGGAACTGCTCTATCTCAAGAGAGAAGAAGACAGCGTTTTTTGAGCACTCTGATTACGAAGAGAAGAACTTCCGAGACTTGGATTGCTGCCGATTGTTGAAAATTACCACGCGTATAGACTATAGGGAGGAAACATTGTAAAGGCAGAAGGCACCAAAAGCCCAATAGAAACAGTTGGTAGCACTAAAAGCCCACCCAGCTCACTACTCCGACAATGGGCCTTCAAGCCTCACCAAAAAAAACATCAAAACTCAGATTCCGCATCCTTCGCCACGTGGCTTCCTTCTAAGTCCTCGTAAGCGAAAAGGGTAAACGCCACGTGCCATCCTCACCCTTATTACAGAGACCTCCGAAGAAAGCTGCAACCAAAGGGCCCGCCCGCAGCCTCTGTCCACCAGTCTCCGTCCAGACCAAATCTCCATCCATCCAATCGCCTCTCGCTCCAGCCACCGCCAGCAAGCTCCGCCAAAAGGTAAAAACTAGCTAACCCATCTCCTATGGTGAAGCGGATTCAGAATATTGGTTGTGATTGGTTGCTGTTGTTCATCAATTTCTCTGGTTTTTTTTTTTTTTTTTGCTTGCTTAGATCTACAATACAGAGGACCGGAGGAAGATTAATCGACAATGGGTAGGCCGGAGTTCTTGAGAATGAGGACGGAGGACGTAGCGTCGCCGGCGGCGGGCTTGATCCAGTCCGATATCGACGAGCTGAAGGTTGCGGCAAAGAAACTCGTCAAGGACGCTGCGAAACTCGGTGGTTTGGGTTTCGGCACTTCTTTCCTCAAATGGGTCGCCTCATTTGCCGCCATGTGAGCGTTTGCCTTACTCACTGCCCTTAACTTACTCCCCCCTTTTGTGAATTCGGTTTGTTTGATCAGTGAGTCCGGAATGTGAATATTTTGTTGGGTGTTCTGTATTGCTGCTGCCATCTAATTTCGTTTCTGTTTTCTGGATGTGAATTGAGAGCTAGAAATCTTTTACAGAAGGGATTTCTTCTCTTCTCACGTTAGTTTATCTTTGCTCTGTTCATAGATGAGATCTTGCGAGAAATTAATAAATGGGTTGATGAAGTACCTTTATGCTGCTGGCAAATTGTATTGCTTTTTTATATCCAAAAGTAAGATTTACTGAATCTTTGATTTTCAACTCCTTACCAACGCGCTACTAACGTTGTTGTTCGACATTTCATTGGTATTTAGTCATGATCAATCAATTGGGATCGGAGACCTAATAGGATCCGTAGCTTTCATGGAATAGCTTTTTCTAGAGTGGGATATTTTGCAAACTGGTGATTCGTTATTCACTTATTTGGTATCTGGATTTCTGCAGTTACTTGTTGATCTTGGACAGAACCAACTGGAGAACCAACATGCTCACTTCACTTTTAGTCCCTTACATCTTCTTCAGCCTTCCTTCCACATTGTTTCACTTCTTGAGGTGAACCACATTCCGCACACTATGCAATCCAATCTCACGGTTTCTCATTCATTAATTGTATTCTGCTCAACGCATTATCTCAATCCCTATTTTTGTCTATCTAGAGGAGACTTTGGGAAATGGGTTGCTTTCATTGCAGTCGTCTTAAGACTCTTCTTTCCCCGACACTTCCCAGGTACTCCCTAAAAGAAATGTACAATCTTTTGCTGATACAATTGAAGTTAAGCTTTGTTTCTAATGACTGATTCCCATATGAATATGCAAAATGGAACGCGGACAAAGACTGGCTGGAGATGCCTGGATCGCTGATTCTTCTGCTGGTGGTTGCTCCAAACTTCTTCGCACACACGTTGAAGGACGACTGGGTTGGGGTGGCGATATGCCTCGCCATTGGCTGCTATCTCCTGCAGGAACACATTAGGGCTTCTGGTGGGTTCAGAAACTCTTTCACTCAGTCTCATGGGATATCGAACACCGTAGGGATCGTGCTTTTGATAGTCTACCCTGTGTGGTCTCTGGTCCTCCATGTGCTCTGAGGATAAAGATTGGGAAACATAGGGAGCTTACAGTTGAAGAAAAGTAGAGTTGGTTTGATCCATTTTTCAGCTTTATGCATGCTGTTTTCCCTCCTTTTTATTGGTATTTTCAAATTTATGTTGGTTCTATGTCTTGTTGGATGGAATAATATTATCAAGTGGTTTCAAGATCCAGTGCTGACTAACTTGTCTACTTTGTAATGTGGTGTTTGATACAATAGAAGAAAGGGGAAGATACTTGTTGGTAGTTGGTAGTGGACCTGGGTTTGAAGCTGCGGAGTCGTTATTACTCGATTAAATTGCACTGTGCATACCCAATGGAAAGGTTTGAACAGGTGAAGTTACTAGTTACTACCAGTTAACTACTCTGGATTTCATGGTGAATTTATCAAACAGTTAGTTTGGTCAGGAGCTTTATCCACTTTGAAATTTGGGTTGAGTTTAGGTTTCGTCAAAACCCAAATTGTTTTCCGCCAACCCACACTTATAAAGCAAAGCGATATCATTTTGTATCTAACCCGAATAATATAAATAATTTGTGGATGTTATTAGTCATTATGACAATATAAACCTAATGATCCCCCTACTGCATAACATGCTCTTTTAGTTTTTGGATCACTCAATTGTTTGAAATGCTCTCAACTGGCACGAACGAAAACCCTACTCCGGCACCGGCGCTTTTCCCCTCTGGACGACCGCCGGATCCGGGGATGCCACAAACGTTGCCTGGTGATACAGTCTTGCCCTCCAAAAGTACATTGATGACAGCTCCGACGGAGATGCTGGTCGATTCCACCGTCACACACAACCAGCAGATGACATTGCAATCCGGAACATATCTCTCCAGCGACACCTCTATAGGTGAACAGCCTAGCCGGATAGCGACAAATGATGTTCAGCTACCGGTTACGACCCAGATGGCCCCATCAGCTGCTAACGCTTCGACGACACACTCCCAGATCTTTTCCTATGCCAATGTCGTAACTGGTGGGGCATCGCTGAATTCGGCTCATCCTTCGAACACCCAATGGACACCGGTAGGGGAGCATGATCTAGTTCCCGGAGAACGGAATGGTGAACCAGCACTCAGAGTCTCGACTGATTTCAAAAATAGGTTGTGCGCTCCCTGGCACCGTACTCTTGTGGTCAGGCTTTTAGGAATCAATGTCGGTTTTAATACCATCTGCTCTCGGCTCCGTGCTCAATGGCGACCTATGGAACAATGGAAGTCCGAGATTTGGATGAAGATTGCTATCTGGTTAAGCTGAACAACGATCAGGACTACTTCAAAGCCCTTACTGACGGACCTTGGGTGATCTTTGATCACTACCTTGTTGTGCAACAATGGACTCCAAAATTCAAGCTGTCAGACCCACTCCCAAAGACGATGATTGTGTGGGTCCAGCTGCCGGCCCTGAAAATCCATTTCTACCATAAAGAAGTGCTTACGTCGTTGGGCAACTTGATCGGAAGGACGATTAAGCTCGACTACCATACGCTTACTAAACAACGAGCAAAGTTTGCCAGGCTCGCGGTGGAGGTTGATCTATCCAAGCCTCTGGTTCCAAGGATTTGGCTAGATGATGATTGGCAAAAGGTTGAATATGAGAATCTTCCCACGGTGTGCTTCGATTGTGGCAAGATCGGCCACCAGTCTACCGACTGCCCTCTGCTTCGGACAAGCTCTTTGATGGCGATCGTGACCGCCGGCGGCGGAGACACCCCGCTGGCTCCGACGGAGGAAACGTCGGAGACTAACCCGGGGTTCGGCCCCTAGATGCTAGTCTCACGCAAATCTCGGCGGAATTCAAGGGAAAATCAAGGAAAAGGAAAATTGGAGAAGGAATCAGGGAGCCAAATTCAAGGAAATTCAAATAGAAATGGAAAGGGAGTGAGCAAGTTTAAGGAAACTAATGATCGCTTGTCTCAACATACTCCTCCACTGACGCAATGGTCGCCAGCCCAGGAAGGGAAAGAGCATGGCGCCAAAGTTGGGGGTGGGGAAAAGAGAAATGGAAAGGTGATAATGAGTGATGAGACGATCTCATCAGAAAAAGGCCGCCTTGGTCCTGGTCCAACTCGGAACATCTCTGTGAAACAAGGGCCAAAGCCCATGCTTGCTGCTGGCAATGCTTCAACGTCCAAATCTCTTGCTAAGCAGGAGATGGTTACAAAACAAGGCCAGCCTGTTCAAGCTATTGTGAATGGGCCTCAAGCCCATACTCCATGCCCAACACCTGCCTTCTCGCCACCCCCAATTTCCTCCTCCGTGGGCCCAAACGGTACCAAACTGCAGGTGGTGGAAGTTGTTCCCCCTGCTTCCTCGTCGCACCGAAATAATGATTTTCCTCCTCCCTCGACGGTGGCTAGAACTAAAGGAAGCAAAATCACCTCTGGCCGATCGAAGAAGGGTTCTCCGACCAAGCTGCACTCCTCCAAGCCGCTCCAAATTTGGTCGCCAATGAAAGATAAGAAAGCAAAATCCAAGACACGCACAACCTCTCTTACCCTTCAGGAAATCCAAGCTTGGACGGAGGCGGCTCGTCCGATGGAGCAATTGTCGAGAGAAGCAGTCTCGAGTAAGGGGCTAGCAACGCAACCGACGCAGGGGCTCCTTTGGGAGATTCGCGAACTCCCTCAGCCTAATTTGGTGTCTTCGTTCCCCCCTTTTTGCACTGTTTCTTCCTTCTTCTCTTTTCTTTTCTTCTCGTTATCTGCTTTTTATTATGTCGCACAACTTTCTGTTTAAAATTTTTTCCTGGGTGGTGCAGGTAGTAAAGCGTTCGCCCATGCTTTGAAGTCGAGCATTCTGCAGCATCGGCCCGATTTTGTGGTTCTTTTGGGACCGCGGATTAGTGGTAATGCTGCTAATTCGATCTGTGATAAGCTGGGCTTTCCCAACTCCATCAGAGTCGAAGCTGCTGGGCGTAAAGGTGGGATTTGGGTATTTTGGGATGGAGGCAAATTCTCAGTCGAGCTCCTGTCGGCCTGTTATCAGCATATCTCTCTTCGTGTTAGTCAAGGAAGGCATGATTCTTGGGTCCTAACTGCAATTTATGCCTCTCCCTAGCAAAGCCTCCAACGAACTTTGTGGGATAGTCTAATTAACAAAGCAAGAAGATTGATCTACCTTGGGTTCTCACAGGAGATTTTAATGCAATTCGGTCCTTGGAGGAGAGAACTGGTGCGCCCTCTAATGCCGTGGTTCGGAGATGCCATAAGTTCAATGAGAGGATCAATCTTGCAGAGCTTGTAGATCTGGGTTTCGCGGGGCCAAGGTTTACTTGGACTAGAGGCAGCCATAATCATACCTACAAGGCCAGCAGGATAGATAGGAGCTTATGTAATCTCCTTTGGAATACGTCCTTCCCCAATACCACGGTCCTCCACCTTCCTCGTCTGCAGTCTGATCACAACCCTATTCTTACCACCGTGGCTACACATGGGCCTTCCTTAACTGACTCTCATTCTTTTAAATTTGAGGCTGCTTGGCTCACTCATAGTAACTTTGAAGATTTTGTTACAGGTACTTGGGACACTAACGCTCCTCTTCCCCAAGCTCTCGATAGCCTGGCTGGGAAGCTTCGGGACTGGAACTTCAATGTCTTTGGTAATGTGCAGCGGAGGAAAAGAAGACTCCTTGCTCGTCTCCAAGGGATCGAGGCTAGACTCTCCGTTTCTTTTACTCCAGCACTTGCTAAACTCCACTCAAAGCTTGAAGAGGAGCTGGATAAGGTATTGGAGCATGAGGAGCTAATTTGGTTCCAACGATCTAGAGAGAAGTGGGTGAAATTTGGGGAGCAGAACACTGCTTATTTCCACCAGCAAGTCTCCATGAGAAGGCGACGCAACAAAATTAAGGCGCTTCGAGATGCCAATGACCTTTGGGTAGTGGAGCCGAGGGCGCTGGCTACTCTTGTGTTTGATTTTTTTGCTAGCCTTTCCATGCAGGATGATTCGGTGTATGAGGATAGACTCCCCAAGAATGCTTTCCCCAGGATCAGCCAGGCGGAGCTTCTTATGCTTCTTCGCCCTTTCACCATCATGGACATCCACAAGGCGATCTTTGACATGAAGCCTTTTCAAGCTCCCGGTCCATATGGCTACCAGGCTGTCTTTTATCAGCAGATGTGGAGTGTAGTGGGAAAATCTTTGACGGATATGGCTCTCAATTTCTTCTCCTCAGGGTCTCTTCCTTAGACTGTTTCTGAGTCTACGGTGGTTCTAATTCCGAAGGTGGACAACCCTGAGTTGGTCTCTCAGCTTCGTCCGATCTCCCTCAACAATGTCAGCTTGAAGGCCATCACCAAAGCCATGACGAGCCGTTTGAAGCCCATTATGAGGAAGCTTGTTTCACCTAGACAAAGCAGTTTCATTCCGGGGAGACAAACGACTGACAACATTATTGTGGTGCAGGAAGCGCTTAACACTCTTGGCAGGAGGAAAGGGGAAAAAGGAGGGATCATCCTCAAAATTGACCTGGAGAAGGCTTACGATATGTTGCTGTGGGATTTTCTTCGGGATACTTTAGGAGAGATTGGCCTCCCAAGTTCCTGGATAAACTGCATCATGTATTGTGTGGAGCATAATCGAATGAGAATCCTCTGGAATGGCGAGTTGTCCCAGCCTATATCACCAACCCGGGGTGTTCGTCAGGGAGATCCTCTCTCTCTCCCTATCTTTTTGTTTTGTGCATGGAGAGACTATCCCATATGATTGATGAAGCAGTCCATTACAAAAATTGGAAGCCGATCCGCTTATCTAAGGATGGCCCCCCTTTGACTCACCTCTTTTTTGCAGATGATCTCTTACTTTTTGCCGAGGCAGAGACGAGGCAGATTAGGGTGATCAAGAAATGCTTGGAGGATTTTTGCTTCAGCTCCGGTCAAAGGGTTAACTACAACAAGTCTCTTCTGTATGTCTCCCCCAATGTGGCGCGGCAGAAGGCAGAGCGTCTCAGTAGGTGTGCAGGCATCCCCTTGAAGACTGAGCTTGGGAAGTACCTGGGACTCCACACAATCCATGGGAGGGTTACTGCTAGCCGCTACCAGGACTTGCTGCTTCGAATACTGAGGAAGTTCGCGCCTTGGAAAGCGAAGAAGCTTTCCTTTGCCGCTCGGCTCACCGTTGTTCGTTCAGTTTCTGCTGCTCTTCCAACTTATTGCATGCACACTGAGCTTATTCCTAGTGGGGTTTGCAAGAGTATTGATAGAATGAACAGAGATTTCATTTGGGGAGATGAAGAGAACAAGTCCAAGATGCATCTTGTAGCTTGGGATAAGATGATTCTTCCTAAGAGACAAGGAGGTGTCGGGCTTAGATCTTTGAAGCATGCAAACTTGGCGATGCTTGCTAAAAGCGGTTGGCGGCTTCTCACGGAGAAAGAGACTCTCTGGACTCAGCTGATGGTTTCCAAGTACGGTCGCCAGCGGGAGCACCTCGATCTCATCCGAAGTATAAAGGGAAGTTCCTTTACCTGGAATAGCATTTCTAAAGCTGCTAGTCTCCTTAAGAAAGGTTGTGCCTGGAACATTAAGAATGGAGAGAGCACTAAGTTCTGGAATGATACGTGGGTTTTGCAGGTTCCTCTCAAAGAAGTGGCTTGTGGGACCATCCCGGAGCATCAACAAAATGCTATTGTAGCGGAGTTCGTGACCGAGGATGGTAGATGGAAGACCCACCTTTTTGCGGAGCTCCTCCCTGCAGAGGTGCACCAAAGGATCCTGAGTATTAGCGTGGACAACTTGTCGCAGGATGATGATACAATCTTTTGGACAACGTCGTCGGATGGCCGCTTCTCGGCAAAGTCTGTTTACTCTCTCCTTAATGAACGGCCTCCCAACCCTGAGGAGAAGTCTTGGAAGATCATTTGGAGTCTGCCTGTCCCGGAATGGATTAGAAGCTTCATGTGGATGGTAATGCTTGGGAAGATCGCGACTAACTCTCTTCTGTTTTCCAGGAAAGTGGCGCCCATTCCGTCTTGTACTCGATGTAATGAGCCGGTGGAGTCGATTCTTCACATTCTTCGAGACTGCACTCCAGCCTGCTATTTCTGGGCTCGCCATGTGCCTGGCTCTTTGCTCCATACTTTTCAAAGTCTGGATGAGCGTAGCTGGCTGCGGGAGAACCTCAACAGCAGCGAGCAGCTAGGCTCCGGGATTAGCTGGCCCGCTTTTTTCAGCATCGCGACTTGGCTCATATGGAAAAATCGTTGCACTTCCTATTTTAGAGGTGTGAACGCTGCCCTTTCACCTCCTTCTATTGAGCACTCTATTATGGTGAAAAGCAAGCTATGGCATGATGCGTGGCTTGCTCCGTCTCCTCTCCCGAGCTCCAGATGCCGACCAGCCGCCCGCACGGTTGCTTCGATCGGGTGGAACCCACCGCATGTTGGGTGGATGACCCTGAATGTGGATGGAGCCTCCAACGGGAACCCCGGGGCAGCCGGAGCAGGGGGAGCCCTCCGCGACTCGACTGGACGATGGAATGTCGGCTTTACAGCGAGACTAGGCGTGGCGACCGCAGCTCTAGCGGAGCTTTGGGCCATTTTTCATGGTCTAGACCTGGCGTGGAAGATAGGATGTCGAGCTCTCATCCTTGAATCTGATTCCCAGCTTGCCATTCAGCTTCTCAAGAACAGACATGACCCTGTGCACCCGTACGCGACCCTTCTGTCAGCTATTCGGAGGAAGATCAGTCAAGATTGGCTGGTGCGCATTACTCATACATACCGGGAAGGGAATAGAGTCGCGGACTGGCTCTCGAAGCACAGTCTCGTCTATCCCTACGGTATGTACGAGCTTGCAAACCCGCCTACCGGACTTGTTTCGATTCTCCAAGAGGATGCGAGGGGTGTTTCCTTTGATCGCAGGATAGTGGCACATGCTCCTCTTGCTATGTAATCTCCTCTTGTAACCTCTCTTTCTTGGCCTTGGCCTCCATCTATGCCAAAAAAAAAATATTTTAAGGATGTTAGATTGTTAGTAGTCTTTACGACGATATATTTAAAGGAATTAATATAATGATGGGGTGTTAAAAAAATTATACATAATTATTTTCGTGAACTTATTGATATTCATGCACAGTGCACGCATTGATGGATGCCTATTGAATTGGTTCATTTCTAAACCCCATGATCATTTAACTCGGTTAAATGAATCGGTTGGATTTGTGTTTAGAAAAACGCGACCCAATCTGATACATTGTCATTTCTCCACGTGAACCGAACTATGCGAGCTTGCGTCGAAACGGCCGTTTTTAGGTGAACCGGATTTATTCTGGTCCGGTCGATTCTATCACGCAACAGGAGATTACTCTGCACAGCGTGCATCGACTGAAAACCACAAAAACCCTAAACCCAGAAAGGCAGCAGGTGGAGATCGAAGTCAAGCTTCTCCTCGCCGATCACTCAATCCTCGGCTGCCCACCTCCATATTTTCATTAGAGGTAACTCCTTAGTCTTTGGCAGTAACTTGTGGCTGCAATTATGATTGTTGTTCCTTCTGGTTTAGCGTCATTTCTCTAAATCAGTTTGGATAGATTGGGGTTTTCTGATTTCTTGGTCATGTTTGACAAACAATGATGAAGATTCGGATCAGTAATTCCCATTCTTCAAAAACCCATGACGACAAATCGAATATTTGTCTGAGAGAATTCCAATTCCCCTCCAAAGTTCTGACCTTTATCTTAATTTTGGCAAAAACTATTATTTCATTTCTCCATTGTTGCGAGGAATTAAGTGGGCAGTATCGATGAATGTATTCTGCGTTTTTATACCCTCAATTTGACGATCTCTTAATTTTGAACTCGGCTTCATATAGTAAGTCTCAGGTCTCTACTATTGGAGTGCAGTGTTGAATTTGCTGAAAGGACCAAGTTTATTAAGCTTACTACCAGTAGCTATGGGGACTGAAGAGTCTAAGGATCCATTGAAAGGAGTGGATTGGAAAGCGATAGGCACGGAGCTTCAAAACGACCCAAGTGCTGGAACAAAGCAAGCTGTAAAGAAGCGGCTTCCCAAGAAAATTAGGCAAATCCCCGAGAGCTATTTCCTTCCTAGAATGTCTTGGCCCTCGGCGATCGGCTTCTATGGAGCATGCATTGTTGGTGGGGTTGGTGCTGGCATGCTGGTGGAGATGTGGATAAACAAGAAAGTCAAAGGTTTGTTGATCTTCTTCATCACTCAGTCACCTCTCATATAAATGGTCTTCCTGCGTTTGGAAACTGTATGATTGTTTCGTACAAAGTTCTGATGGTGTTTAGTTATCGTCCTTTTTGGCATATGGCAAATGATTTTGGTACATGATCTCGCTTGAATTCCTCTTGTAACGGATTTTTCTTTGTGTTCTCGACATCTTTCAGAGGATGGAGGAGTCATATGGGAGTTTGATAAATAAAAACAGGATGGTGGAATATCAGTTGCAGGGTGGTGCATGAAAAAGGAACTATAACTCTCCACTAACAGCCTAACTGGAAGATGTTTCTTGGACTATTGATTCTTATCAAGACGTCTTAATGCACACACCTCTCGAAGACGAATTTTCTAGTCTTGGCATGGATGACTCGCCCTCGGTATTTGGCTATTTGCATACGAGGTTTTGTTTCAAACTCATCTTCTTATAGCTGTGAAGCATAATAGCAGATATATGTGTTTGAGTTGCATTGAGAATTAGTTTTGTTACTTGGACGACGAGGTTATATGTGTTGAGAATCTTGTTTACCAAATCCGGATGGGGGTGAAATATGTTCTTTTAGAGAAACTGAGTTGCAGTCTGGTGTTTAAGAGGGGAATATAAGTCTCCGAACAAAGTTTGAAGCAAACTACATGATAAATTTTGAAGTTTTTAGAGTGGTGTCTATGTTTGTGATCGTCTTCTGCACCACTACGGGCAGGGGCTCAATTTCAATCCATCACACTCCGTAAATTGGTAAGATGGAATTCAAGCATCGATCGCTGCAAGTGACCTGGTGTAAACTGTGATCTGGTGGGTGCCATTGGTCGTGCTATCGGCCGTGATTGCTGAGTTGGGCAGCCAATCGAAGCTGATCAGGCTAGACCTTTCCAGCAACAATATCAATGGGGTGGTACCTCAAAGGACCAGTCATCAGTTCCAGCTAATTAGCAATTACATTTCCTCTGTCTTCTTCTTCTCACTATCCAACAATCAACTCAGAGGACCTATCCCGGCGAGTATCTGCAGTGCTTATCGATTACACAAAATCTTCGGTTTGTCAAACAACAATTTGAATGACACAATTCCAGGTTGTTTGATGGAGAGCAGCGAGACACTTGCTGTCTTGGATCTAAGGGGCTTATTGAAGTTACAATAAAAAAGGTAACCAAGTTTCCCACCTGAGAATTGAGATTGATCAGAACAAAAGAAACGATGGAGCTACTCTGCGAAGTCCAAACAATTGCACCACCTAATACAATCACAAATATAATAATACCAAATCCATCATGAAATCCAACAAGCAAACAATGGTTTGTACCAAAAACCAAATGGGGCAATTCCATCATTTATCCATGATTTTGTAACACCCAGGTTTTAACCAAAACCTTCATTTTTCAAATCCATGAAGCAAACGATCCCTAGATGTCATGCTCGCACAAAAAAGTTCAACATAGAGCATCATAAAACATATCTCGGGGTGACGAATTTCACAGTCGTCCCAAATATTCAAATTATGAACATCTATAACTTTGATATCTCAAAGTAATGTGTGAATATTGCAATTGTGTTATCAGATTATTTTAATATTTTTATCTCACAAATATAGAATTCACAGAACACAAATATCATATATTATAAACAAAAACAATGTTTTATGAAAGAGAATTTAAAATATTAATGAAATCGTAAGATATCAAGTTGCATTTCAATTTGTCTCACCTCAATTTTAACACGGTCAAAATCCATGTCACATTATTTCCGAACACTGAGGATCTTCATACAGGGGTGGAGCCAGGATTTCGAGACCGGGGGGCCGAAAATAATTAAAAAAATTATGTAACCAATGTGGAGCAAACCCGCGTGCTTTATTAAATAAGTTAAGCTTGGCTACCATTAGACCACATAACTATTACATGATAAAATTTACAGAAGAAGTTATACTTATAAAATTTGTACTAAATATCCGCACAGACCTAGGGACCGGGACCAATCCCGGGGGGCCGGGGCCCACCCTAGCTACAATGTAGCTTCGCCCCTGGTTTCATAATATTCACATAACACACACTATATTCTTATTATACAAATACAATATTCTCACAACACAAATACCATATGCTCATAACCATATACAACATTCTCATAAAACGACTTTTAACAAGACACAAATATCATTTTCTTATACCACAAATACAATATTTGTATGAAAGATTAATTGAAAAATGCATTCTATTTGTCTCACACCTATTCTAACCGTGATAGTAGGATTTGATGGTAGGATTTGATGGTAGGATTTGAGTTCGCACCATGTTGATTCGTCCAGTAAGGTGTTGAGCTAAGCTATATGATTTTATTTTGTTTTCAGTTTTTATTTTGGTCACCTTTTATTGGATACATTTTGGTTTAAGGATGAGGTAGCTAAACCCCTTAACCATGATAGTTTTTCCCCGCGTATGTTTGTATTGCTCAACGAGATCGTAAAACGACTCAATCTAATATAACGAAGATAGAGTTCGATAACTCTATATGGTAAATTGGTAATGTTATCATATACTTGCCTCAACCATCCGATAAAACTAACTATCAACAATAAGAACATTATGGTTTATACACAACTTTGCATGTTATGACCTTCGTACTAGTAGAGTGTTAAGTATGTAGTGTGCCTAATTAATTGTTTAGGGACTATTTAGCACTTATTCCCTTGTTGAGTGGTGATAAGGGATATAGTGCACCCTTATATATATGTTGCTGCCGTGTGCATGCTCCTATAGAGAGCTTGTGAGTTTTGCAAAACTCTAATAATAAAAATCTAGCCGAAGACCCCTTGTGTGGGTCTTCCGTGGATTAGTCTTGCTCATGACGAGCAAGGATACCACGTAAATCGTTGCGTTTTGTGTGTTTCGTTCTTATATTTCTCATAGGATCAGAGTTGTGAGCTGAGATTCACGACGTTTTTTTTTTCACCTGTCATTATGAGTCTTGACGACGAGACAATGGTGGATTCCAAGCTGAAGTCCGCGGCGTCCGATCCTCCGCCGGCAGGGGACGTGTCTGGTAACGGCCCGCCTTTTCCTCCGGTCTTCGTTCTCCACAATGGCGACAACCCTAATCAACTGTTTGTGGGTGAGCTTCTCACCGATTCCAACTACAATGAACGGGTTGGCGACATCACTGATTCTTTCATTGCCAAGAACAAAGTAGGTTTTGTGGATGGTTCTATTCCGCAACCGTCTGATGGGCATCTCCGTGATCAATGGCGGATCTGTGACGCCATGGTGAAGGGTTGGTTGAAAATGGCAATGAGTAAGGAGATTCGCTCGAGTGTCCGCTTTGCCAGCACCGCCCGTGATATATGGATTGATCTTGAAGCTCATTTTGGACAGCCGAGCGCACCGCGCTTGTATGAGCTGCATCGGATGATCAATGCCCTTCAACAGGAGAAGTCTAGTGTCTCTAGCTTCTATACTAAGCTTCGGGGGTATTGGGATGAGATTCAATCCATTTCCCCTGCTCCTGATTGTAGCTGCAACGGATGCACTTGTGACGTGAAGCGTAAGTATCGCAACACCAAAAACAGTGAGCAGCTCTTTGACTTTCTCATGGGTCTCGACGAGGCCTTCTCTATAGTTAAGACGCAAATTCTGGCTATGCGTCCTATGCCGAGTCTTGCCGAAGCTTATCAGCTGGTCAATAATGATGAACAACAGCGATAGATAGCTCAAGCTCGGCGCCCCACTGTTGAAGCAGCAACGTTCTTTTCTCAGGATGATCGCTCCAATGCTCGCAGCTCCTCAAGCCGTCCTAGTGATCCATCTAAGCCTCGGTATTTCTGTGAACATTGCAAGAAGACCGGCCACACAAAGGACCGGTGCTATGAACTCATTGGCTATCCGGATCGTCCTCCATCGAAAGGCGATTGCGGCAATCGTCCGAAAGGGGGCGATCGGGACAAGGGCGCTCCTCACGCTGCTCAAGTCGGTGCTCAAGCGAGCCTAATTCCCGGGCTGACTCCCTCTCAATTTGAGCAGCTTAAAAAACCTGTTTGGCGGGGAGCTGAACCAAATGTCGAGCCCAGCAAATAAGGCGACAGGTAATTCACCTTCCTTTTTCGCGCTGAATGATGATTGGTTAATCGATAGCGGCTGTAACAAACACATTGTGAACAATCCGAAACTAGTTCACGGGTCACAGGACTACCCAGGTCTGCAGGTAAGAGTTCCTGATGGTTCGACTATTGGAGTAACTTGCATTGGTGAAGTTCAGTTGTCTAATGGGCTGGTTTTACCTCGTGTGCTATTGATTCTGGAACTTAAATGCAACCTGTTATTTGTTAGTCAGCTTACTCGGGATTTTTCACTGGCTTTGATATTTTTTCCGGGACTTCTGTGCGATACAGGACTTGTCCTCGAAGATGATTATTGGGACGGGGAGCCAAGTTGATGGTCTCTACCATTTACGTCTTTTTGATGGGGTCCGACGCGAGATGGCCTATGTTGTTCGTAGAAATGTCTCACCTGATATTTGGCACTCTCGGGTAGGACACCCGTCGCCGGAGAAATTGAATTTGTTACATTTAGTACCCAACACTAGTAGACATAATAACACTCTTTGCTCCTTCTTTTTGCGAGCAAAGCAGTCTCGTTTGCCTTTTCCTTCCAGCTCAATTCGTAGTACTCGGCCTTTTGAGATTGTTCACATTGACATTTGGGGTGGTTACAAAGTTCCTTCTTTGAGTGGAGCTCAGTACTTTCTTACAGTTGTTGATGATTTCACCCGTGGTGTTTGGATTTATCTACTTAAGTTCAAATCTGAGGCTGCTAGATACTTGAAACTTTTTGTTCGACAGGCGTCCCGGCAGTTTGGTGCGTCGGTCAAAGTGATTCAGACCGACAATGGGATGGAGTTTCAATCCCATGACTTGGTCAACTTTTATGTTGATGAGGGCATTCACTTACAAACTTCTTGTGTCGATACTCCGCTGCAAAACGGGATTGTCGAGCGTAAGCATCGACACATATTGGATACAGCTCGTGCCCTTCGCTTTCATGCTAACTTGCCTATGCGTTTTTGGGGCGAGTGTGTCCTCACTGCTGGCTACTTGATTAATCGTCTTCCGCACAGTTCTCTTGGGAATCAAACCCCGTATGAACGACTTTTTGGCAAGCTTCCCAGCTACTCTCATCTCCGAGCCTTTGGCTGCTTGGTCTATTCTAAAGATAACC